AAAACACTATAATAAAAAAAAAAAAAAAAAAAAAAAAAACCCCCCCCCCCCCCCAAAAAAAAATAATAAGAATAATAAAAATAGTTCTTTTCGGATGAGTTTACGAGATTTATGATTATCAATAAAAAAATTAGATAATGAACATATACACTAGGGTTTAGTCATGGGATTTTACCAAACATAATAATAAGATATATAGAGATGTAATTAACGAACTTAAGTACCAATTGAAAAATTTGTTTAGCATGAATTTTCTAGACTATGACAACTGAACTTTCTAGAGTATGACAGCTCTACAAAAGATAAGATTCTGGTGAAAAAGATCTTTTCTTTCTCTTTATAAGAATACTTTTCATATTTGGTGTATACAATTAGAATTTGGTTTATACAATTAGAGTAAAAGATACGATAATCTTTTTGTCAGATCAAATTGTTCCTCAAACAAGTTTGATATGCTTGTTTTTCACGCAGTAACGGTAAATCTGTGATTGTAACAAAGAGATAAAATGAGGGGTGGAGTGGCGATATGCATGTATTATTTTTGCCCTGAGACAGCCGTTTGTGAGGTTTGTAACAATTTTGATATAAATGACATAATATTACATATTTAATATCTGTCTTAAAAACCTTTTTTCAACCCTTTTTTTTTTTTTTTTTTTTTTTTTTTCCTCTCGTGCATTAAATATGTGAGAAAATTTTCAACAATAATATCTCATAAAAATGATATCATAATAATATTTTGTAGACATTGTTCAAAATTAGAAACTAAAAAAGACTCTGTTACAAAAATGCCAACACTAGGGAGCAAAGCGAGCTAGAGAGGCAGCACTAACCAACACTATGGAGCAAAGCGAGCTAGAGAAGCAGCACTAACCAACACTAGGGAGCGAAGCGAGCTAGAGAGGCAGCACTAACCAACACTAGGGAGCAGAGAAGCAGCACTGGCCAACACTAGGGAGCGAAGCGAGCTAGAGAAGCAGCACTAACCAACACTATCGAGCAGAGAAGCAGCACTGGCCAACACTAGGGAACGAACGGGTCCTGAATATAAAAAAGCGTAATTAGAGCTTGTCTCTTATTAGTATTGTAGGCCGAAAACTATATGCAAGAATGCAAGATTGGCCCTGGATCATAAAAATCAAGTGACGTTTAAAAAGGAAAAGAAGAGAAAGAGGAATGATGCATTTCGTTGTAAAAGGCCATCATCTAGATCAAACCCGTGTTTTTTCTCTCTCTTTCTCTCTCTCTCTCTCTCTCAGAATTCAAGAGTATTTCTTAATTTGCACTTCCAAGAAAATGATTATATTTTTTTCAAACTTGCTGCATCTTAATAAAAGAAAAGAGACCGGATTTTCTGCAATAGGTTGATAAATTGAATCAGTTGAAAAGCATTTTAGTTCTTATTTTCATCAGTCACATCACCTTGTTACCTTGGATCTGTGTAAGGTTTCCAAGGCACAATAAATTTCTCGGTGACACCTTTTCCGGTTCATCTTTCTCGGTTTCCCAATCTCGGAATTCATGGCACATATATTCTATGTTCTTCAATCATTTCCATTTTCTTTTTTATTTTTTTTTATTTTTTTTTTTTTTTGCAGGCTTTGCATTTATGTTAGATTGCGAAATCGAAAAAAAAAGAACACAAGTATTGATTAAGTCAAGTTTTTATACTCTAAGCGAATTATTGTTGCTCATCCTCATAGTAGTGGAACTCAAAATGTCTAGTACTTATAAAAGATTTCCTAAATGTACATATATATATGATATAAGTTATTGAATTTTCTCTTTAAATTTGCTACTCTAAGTAAATCCTATAGGCTAGTCTTTATATAATGTCTGACGCTTTAAATAGTACGCCATCTCAAAGTCCAGATATTGGATATGAGAAAAACGAAAATGGTGAACCAATCGGAGATCTTGAGCATCAAGAAGAACCTCTTCAACATCAACTTAATCAAAAACCTTTAAGTGCATACGTGGGGGTAATAACAAGATGTATTTTGATTGCCTTTGGTGGTTTCGTGTTTGGTTTTGATACCGGTACCATTTCTGGTTTCATAAATATGAGTGATTTCCAAAGAAGATTTGGTCAAAGAAATGCTGAAGGTGAGTACTACTTTTCAAACGTTAGAACAGGTTTGATGGTTGGTATTTTCAATGCTGGGTGTGCCTTGGGTGCAGTTTTTCTTTCTAAAAGTGCCGATTTATGGGGAAGAAGAATAGGAATTTTGTCGGCAATGCTTTTTTACGTTGTGGGTATTATTGTGCAAATTTCATCGTCTCATGCATGGTACCAGGTTATGATTGGAAGGATTTTTTCAGGTATTGGTGTCGGCTGTTTGTCCGTTGTTTGTCCCATGTTTATTTCTGAAGTATGCCCAAAACATTTGAGGGGTACCTTGGTTTGTTGTTTCCAGTTGATGATCACATTGGGCATCTTTTTAGGATACTGTACAACTTATGGTACCAAGCAATACTCGGACGATGTGCAATGGAGAGTACCATTAGGTTTGTGTTTCGCTTGGGCGTTATTCTTGATTGGAGGAATGTTCAATATGCCCGAATCACCACGTTATCTTATTGGTAAAGACAAGATTGAGGATGCCAAAAAATCATTGGCAAAGACAAATAAGATTTCTGAAGAAAATCCGGCATTGTTGAAAGAACTTAGATTGATCCAAGCTGGTGTTGATAGAGAAAGATTGGCTGGTAAAGCTGGTTGGACAACTTTGATTACTGGTAAACCAAGAATATTCGAGAGGGTTTTGGTTGGTGCCATGTTGCAAGCATTGCAACAATTAACCGGTAATAATTACTTTTTCTATTACAGTACCACCATTTTCAAAGCTGTTGGATTGGACGATTCATTTGAAACATCCATTGTTATTGGTGTCATCAACTTTGCCTCCACTTTCTTAGGTATCTACCTTATTGAGAAATTAGGTAGAAGAGTTTGTCTTTTGATTGGTTCTGTTGCTATGTCCGTTTGTTTCCTTATTTATTCATTGGTTGGTACTCAAAGTCTTTATGTTGGTAGTCCAAACGGACCCACACGTAAACCAAGTGGTGATGCGATGATTTTCATAACATCTTTATTCATTTTCTGCTTTGCCTCAACATGGGCCGGTGGTGTATACTCCATCATATCGGAGCTTTACCCATTGAAAATCAGATCAAAGGCTATGGGTGTTGCCTTGTCAGCTAATTGGATCTTTGGATTTTTGATATCATTTTTCACTTCTTTCATCACAGATTCAATTCATTTTTACTACGGTTTTGTATTTTTTGGTTGCTTAGTGTTTTCGATATTTTTCGTTTACTTTATGGTTTATGAAACCAAAGGCCTTTCGTTAGAAGAGGTTGACGAATTGTACCAAAGCGGAGTCCCTTCATGGAAATCGGGAGGTTGGACTCCTCCATCAGAGGAAGAAATGGCAACTACAACCGGATACGCAGGCTATCACAAAGCAGAAGAAGAACATATTCAAGAAAAAGAGCCAGAGCCAGAGCAAGAATTGGTTTAAGAGCTAGGGGGGGGAGAGAGACATTTTTTATTTAATTACATTTTTACTTGGGGTTTAAACAAAAGGTGAATAGACATTTTAGAAGAAACGATATTACAAGAAAAAAAAAAAAAAGAAAAAAAGAGGATACAAACAGACTCTAAAAGAATGTAGACAGAGTGTGTTTAAGCTTCTCATTAACATCATCCATAGAAGGTCTCTGAAAACCACACCTCTTCTTCTATCTCCATTGTCGCCAATAATATCTTCATCTTCTATCTTCCCATATAATTTTTCACATTATCAAATTTACACGACCTCGAAATTTGAAGCGAGAAAGAAAAAAAAAAAGGGCACATCAAAGATCGAGTAAGAAGCAAAGTCCACCATTGTAAGTTGGTAAAAAGGTAGGCTTTGGTACAAGCACAATTATTTCCAATGTTTAGTACCACGTGGAAAGCCAACCTAGGTGTATCGGGTATATTCAGGAGGTTTAAACATGAGTATACACCAAGATTTAGGGAGATAGAGAAGGCCCAAAAGGGTAGAGTAACTGTGAGAACAGGAGGATCAATTAAAGGTAATAGCTTAGAGTTTGGTAAATTTGGCTTAAGATTGAAATCGCGTGGGCTCAGAATGAGCGCAAACCAGTTATTGGCGGCAGACAAGGTATTGAGACGAGAACTTAGGCCAACAAAGTCGAATTTGTTTACTAGATTTGTATGCGACTTGGCAGTCTGTATAAAAGGTAACCAAACGAGAATGGGTAAAGGTAAAGGTGCATTTGACCATTGGGCTTGTAGAATACCAACGGGGAAAGTCTTGTTTGAAATCGATGGACCAATACATGACAAGGTAGCGAGAGAAGCGCTTAGAAAAGCAGCAGATAAATTGCCTGGTTTATACGAAATTATAACACCACAGAGTAAAGTAAGGGTAAGCATGACCCACTTGATTGAAAAACCAGAACCAGTAGACTATGTTGAGAAGGTGAATTCGAATCCAAGTAGGAAGTGGTTGAATTTACAAAAGTTCAAAACTGATCCTATGTATAAATTATATAGCGGTAGGTGAAAACAACATCTCCTCACCTCACCCTTCCCTTTCCACTAACTTGTAATTAGGAATTAGACAATACAAATAGCTCTCTACACTATCGAGCAGAGCGAGATAGTGGTGCACAATCAAATATTAATACTATATGATTAATATAGTTTATACACTGACTAGCTGCCATCTACACTTTGTAGCTTGTTGCAATACTATCGAGCGGGGCAAGACTATCTGCCACCGACACTCAGTAGCTTGTTGCAATACTATCGATCGGGGCAAGACTATCTGCCACCGACACTCAGTAGCTTGCTACAACACTATCTCGCTCTGCTCGATAGTGGAGCAACACCTTGCTTATATTCCTTGATGATCTTTGTATGTTGGTTTTCTTTCTAGTAATCTGCAAAGAAAAAAAAATAAAATAAATAAAAACCGTTGAGCTGGTTAGTTCAACAAGTTTGAATGTGTGCTTAATACATTCTTTCTTTCTTCTTGTTATTGTCTTTCCCTCTTCACAGACCAATGTCCAAGGATACACCTAAACTAATAAACCAGTCGCTAAATATCTTGTCAAGATTAGTTGAGTCCGATACTAACGTATCTATAATAGACTTGAACTTATTAGAAAATTTAAACACTAACCAATCATTGAATTATTCCAAGTTGGAGAATGATTTAAATCTGTTAGAACAAAGTGGGAACCAATTAGTACTGCTTAAAGAGGAATTTGACAGTCATTCAAAAGCCTTGGTACAAATTGAGGAGAAGATTGCTAAACTAGAGAGAATTATGACCGAGCTAGACTCCTGGTTAAACGAGTTGGAAACAACTTAATAAGCTATGACTAATATTCCCTGAAACCCCTCTCTATATCCTACGGCCGGTATATCCTACTAGCATTATAGCAAAATCTTTTTTTCATCTGAGATCAACATTACTAGCATTAAAGTAGTATCATTTTTTCATCTGAAATCAACATTACTAGTATCGCTACAAAGTGTTGCTCGATGGTGTCATTACTAGTATCGCTACAAAGTGTTGCTCGATGGTGTCATTACTAGTATCGCTACAAAGTGTTGCTCGATGGTGTCATTACTAGTATCGCTACAAAGTGTTGCTCGATGGTGTCATTACTAGTATCGCTACAAAGTGTTGCTCGATGGTGTCATTACTAGTATCGCTACAAAGTGTTGCTCGATAGTGTCGCTTTGCACGGTAGTGTCGATTTGCTCGATAGTGTCGGGTGTTGCTTGATAGTATCGCTTTGCTCGATAATATCGGGTGTTGCTCCACTATCTCGCTTTGCTCGATAGTGTCGGTGGTGTTGCTCGATAGTGTCGGGTGTTGCTTGATAGTGTCGCTTTGCTCGATGTCGGTGGTGTCGCTTTTTACGATTCATAGTATTTTACTTGAACCCACAAGCTGCAGCTATTGCATTGCACAATAATGTCATACCCACCGTCCGCATTGAGTGTGCCATTTTCAAGATTTGCTTCAGTTAACACAAAACCATCAATGTATTCGCACCTCGGACATGTTTTCACAAAACTATCATCCTTACATGTAAAATCATCAAGATTATACACATCGAGACCGCCTCCGGCGATGTTGAATCCTTTCCCCTTTAAGTTAAGTTCTAATTGTTGGTCGTACTCTACTCGTGTATCAGGATTCGATAGTATTTTGTAAGCATCTACTATCAAAGCAATATTCACTGGTACCTCCTCCAGGGTACGAGCTTTATCCGGGTGAGTGTTTAGTAGCTTGAGTTTGTACGCTTGTTTTATTTCATCTGTAGAGGCATCTGAAGGTACACTCAAAAGCTCATAAAGCGATAGCATTAATTAACAAGATCCCTCTTCCCCTGTTTCTTAACGGGTTCTATTTTTTTTTTTTTCTTTTTTCCATTCGGCGCTTAATCCTCGATTTTCCATCTCATCGCGATGAGCTTAATTCTTTTTTCTTTCTTTTAGGTTTCAATACAAGAGTAAGAGATACCCCTTTAAGAGACAAACTGAGTAGAATGTCCACACCTTCGGTCAAAGTTCATTCTTATTCAGAGGAACCAGTTGCTTATGTGGGTTCATTTTTCAATGGTTTAGCAGTACCCAAGGGCACTGAATTTGAAGTATATCAACACAAAAAAAATGGAGATTTTCTTGTTCATGGTGAAAGCGAAACTTTGGAATATAATGGAAAGACCAGTGCAGATGAAAATGAGTACGTTGTGGCTGTTTATGATCGAAACAAGAATGCAGTAGAACTTTACAAAACGCCATATATTCCTACTAAAGTCACCGCCAAGAAGAATAGGGTTTACAAAGGCCCTTTGGTGAAATCTTTCGGTTTGAAGAATGTTGCTCAGCGGAAAGCTTTGGGAGAAGCTTTTGGAACGAAAAAGGCCAAAGCGGCAATAACGAATTTGGAAAAGAATAGAATTGACTCGGATAAATTGCAAGATATTGAATTGGATATTGTTGATACAGTGCAGGAAAGCACTAAACCACTTGAGATTGAGAAAGCCACAGGACCCGTTCCCAACCCCAATGTTCATGCAACAAATGTCGAAGACGTTTACCCTATCGATAGCATTGTTCCGCAAAAGACTTGGGGCTATATCCGGGCTCAGCCATTATTATCAGATCCTACGCCATTGAACCTTTTACCTTCTCAGCCCGAGTTTGTCAAACCAATCTTATCTAAATTAAGAGACGCAAAGAACATAAAGGGTTTGCAATTACTCTATTATTCCGCACTTTTATTTGGCGTTTATGAAAATCGAAGAGTATCGCAAAAGGAGGCGCTAATGACGAGGCTAAAAAATATACCATCTGAGGTTTTGGTGGATAACATTCTAGATCAATTTGCTATTTCGCGCTCGTCGAAATTCGGTAGATCCAAAGAAAAGTCGTTTACTATAGATCCTCACCACGAGGATAAGTTGTTGTGCTACTTGTTTATCATATTGCTACATTTGTCAAATTTCAGCATTGAATTGAATCCGTTGGCCAAAGATTTAAAGATGAAACCAACAAGGTTGGTTGCATTATTTAGAGCACTAGGTGCTACTATAAAAAGCGCAACAGTCGCAGAAGCAGAGGCATTGGGAATACCAAAAAGCGCGGCGGGAACGTACAAAATTGCAAATTTGAAGGTACCGTTTAAATTGCCGGAAATAACCAGGAAGAAGTTCAGATCGTAATTAAAATCATTAAAGTAAGCAAAGACGAACTATGAATGAACTAGAAGTTTTGTTTGTTTGTTTGTTTGTTTGTTTATTCTTTTCTGTTGTTTTTTCTTTTTTGATGTCAATAATATTTGAAATCCTCAGCATCAGCAATACTGTTCATTTCAATAGATTTATTAATGAAACCTTCCGTTACGGTGAATGGGATTTTGTTGACAAATCTCCCATCCATTATCTTAAGCTCCTTATCAATCTTCTCATAGTACTTTTTTAGTCTAATCATGGTTAAATGTCTATTGTTTTGCTCTTCCCAGAATGGAATAACTATATAACCACTGTTTACGTAATCATCAACTGTATTGGCTGCGAACCTTTCAATGCGTTCCCTTAACAAACGACTAGCCAAGGAGGTTCCCATAACGTGTATTTTTATGTGTTTAAATAGATACAACAAAGGCTTGCTTAATTCATTCCATTCAAATTCACATTTCAATCTTTCAAGGTCACTTTTTTCCAAGTGAGGAACAGTAACTTGCAGCAAAGAGTTGTGTATAGTGTACGAATCTCCAAACTTATCGACTCGTTTTGAATAATATGGCCAAACTTGAGTAGCAAATATAAAACAAGGTTCAATTTGCACAATTTCGTTTCTTTTGATACACTCAAATATCCAATTTGGTTTAATGAGGTCAAAACCTTGACTTAGTAATTTGTTCCCTACCGGTAAATCCTTTTCTGTGATAATCACAACCTGTAGGCTTGACTTTGAGTCAATTGAGTGCACCACTTTGCCTCCATATTTTTTGACCAAGGCTCTTAGTTCTTCCGCACTGATCACTGTCTCTTTGGACTCTCTTCTCTCGCTCATTATTAGAAATTCAAATTTGGAAAACAAATCAAACTCCGCTTTCACTTTCTTTAAGTCACTCCCTTGATCGGAAAATGAAGTCAATACATCATACTTTTTCCTTTTTACGGCAACTGTCTGGGACCTCAGTATATTCCTCATGTAATCCGCTTTCAAGTCCAAATATTCCTGTAATGTAATACACTCATCAACAGATTTGTCCTCTCTGATCCTGCGGCAGAAGTTATTGTGTAAAGATGATCCAACGGCATAAGTCTCTTCAGGCCGAACATCAATTGACCGCGCTTTGATTTCCAAAACAACTGAGTTCTTCGGTTCAATCCAGTAAGCGGGTCTCTTTCTACCAAATCGAATAAGATTTTCTGGAGGCGGCCTTGTACCTGTATCGATCCACTTTCCATGCGTCAAGCGTTCCACTTTATCAAACTCTTCAATTTCAAATCCGTTTCCAATCATAGCAAAGCTATAGTACGCTCCGTCAATGGTATTTTTTAACCCAACCATATAAGAATTCTTAATTCCGGGGTTTTTACCGATAACAACCAAATCCAAATTCTCGCCAAATTTTTCAAGGTACTCCGGTTTCACCTTAATCCAATTGGGATTTCGGAATCCGTCAATAATATATTTCAGCTGTGTGTGTTTGAGTACTAACCCTTCACTTCTATTACCGACAATCTCCCTCATTGACTTTTCAATATCAGCAGCCGTTGATCCAAGTCGTGCGTCACTGATCTCAAATCTATGGGGCACAGGTTTTATTATCCGGCTAAGAATGGTTTTCCTGAAAAATAGTGGATAATTGCCAAGCTCCTTGCCATTGAGGTAAAGAACATCGAAAATTATGTAATATGGGTAGCTTGTTTGCTGATTGTATTGATCAATAGTTGTAAATTGCAGAACGCTTTCTTGAATTGCCAGTGACTTCAATGTACCAAATGGTAGGATAATTTGCCTCTTGTAGTCATAAGCTACCATTTCGCCATCAAGAATCACTGAATCTACCTTTTTTTGGAAAGCATTGTTCAAGTACTTTGTTAATGAGCCAAATTGAAATGACTCGCCGTATAGAAAGGAATAGTCTTTAAGTCTCCGACTGTAAAACTTGAAATTTCCATTTTCCATATGTAGTAGCATCCTATCTCCGTCTGTTTTCTCTTCAATATAAAACTTATTCTCCAAATCCAACTGTTTGAAACTATTTTCGAAGTTTTCATCCATTGGCTGTTTCTTTTGTAGCTTTTTCACCACAGAGTCATAGTTAGTTGTTAGTTTCTCTGCTAACTGAGGCTTGAACTTGAATCGTGGGTGGATGGCCAACTCCTCTCTAGATAGTTCTTTTTCAGAATCAGCAAGTGAATTAAATGTCTTTTTTAAATCGTTACATATACTGTATAACCGGTAACCACAAGGATGCCAACTATTGAAGAAGTACTTTTCCATATTGGTCAAGATTGGTTTCTTCAAAATAAACTGCACAAGCCACCTGATTTCTTCAATTCTCAAGCTATCAAAAAGAGGCTTAAGAAGATCCACTTGTTCGCTTGACTGCTTTGCTAGCGTCAAGTTGTCCAATAGGTTATTTATTTCGGAAACAGTGCATTCTTTGTATTGATCGGTGAAATCTCTTCTTTTGGCAACAACTCTAGCTACTTGTAGCGGTAAACTGCGAAGTTTCATCTCATCTGCAGCAAATCTTTTAGATTTTTGATACTGCTTATTCCAGTAATGGAGGAGGTTATAGTCGTCAGCATCTTTTGGAATCCTGTACATTTTGATTATTAGCCTCGCTAAAGCCACTTCTTTGATAAAATATAGTCTTCCTGCTTTCTCGGGGAATATCAATTTCGCCGCTGGAGACATGTCATTTCCAATATATAGTTTGAAGCTTTGGATGAACTCATTAATAATCTGTGCTTTCCTCTCGGTTATCGTTTTGGCCTTGCCTAAATTGTTCCGTGATACACCATCGATTTTATCAAATAATTCGTTTGTTAGAAAGGTAAGGGTGGGTTCAATTTGATTGGGCGCAGGTGGCCTCACATTGTCAAGAAACCATGGCATGATCGAGAGTGATACTTGTATAATGTATGAGGTATCAGGTATCAGTTAAACCTCTCGTTTACTACTGGGGTTACTCTTTATACTCTTAGTCGCTACCATATACGGCTTACAAGCGATACTTACACAAAAACTTGTTTTTTATCAACATCACCTTGGACAATGGCTGATTGGCATTGAACAAGGAATCAAGCTTAGAGTTGAGGTAAGCCTCTTTTCCGGATGTTCAACTATTCCCTTGTTTGTTACTATAAGAAAGTATCACAAGGTCGACTCATATATGAACAAACAAGCTTAGTAAGTCTTTATTTTTTTTCTTTTTTGGGACTTATGGCAGAATGCTCATAGAAAAAATGTTCTTAGACTGATACAAAGAAGCAAATATTGATATATAATCGATTTACAATATCGTTGTGTTTGGTGTAAATTATACCGCTTCAAATTATCTCTCCCACTTTTCAGTTTAAGCAGCGCGTTCTGCTTTCCTCAATACACTTTGCAAAAGTGTGGCAATCAAGCTTTATTGATATGCTACTGTTTTTATAGATGAAATAAGTAAAGCACTTTTCTTTCAAACGGGTTGCAAATAAGGAAACAATTGTGACTTTTATAACTATAAATAGGCTTAATTTACCTCCACCTTTTAGATCCAATTTTTCCCCAAGTTTCTCTTATCATTTACCAAAACCCCATAACTAATCTCAATACTATTAGTATTCTTTTTTTGTTTACAGAATTATGCAACTCAATATCATACTTTTAACATTAGCCTCAGTTGCTTTTGTTTCTGCCAACTCCTACTCCAACTCCAACTCCAACTCCAAAGCCAACTCCAAAGCCAAAACCAAATTAAAACCACATCATAAGGAAAATACTACAATAAATGCAACAAATGTTTCTACAACCACTACAACCCGAGCTGGTGGTGTGGTGAATGGTATCAATATTGTTGGCGCTGCTGCTGCTATTGCAGCTGGTGCTGTATTGCTATAGATGTCTTTAAGAGGAGATAAAATAGAGTATACACTATCGAGCAAAGCGAGATGGTGTTTTAACAAGCTAGCCAGTACTGCTCCACTATCGAGCAAAGCAAGATAGTGTTGCTATTAAGCGCTGCTCCATTATTGAGCAAAGCAAGATAGTGTTGCTATTAAATGCTGCTCGATAGTGTTGCTGTTAAGTGCTGCTCGATAGTAGAGGAATTTTGAAGAAATAGACTATATAACATTGATGTTTAGTAGAGGAGTTTTGTTTTGTAAGTTTTTTAATATGATATATATAAAATTAATTAAACTAGAGTTTTTTATTTGGTATAGATTTTGATTGAATTTACTGTAGAATGGCTGCGAAATTATTGTCTAGTAAAAGATATCTATAAAAGATACAGTTTCAACACGTGACATGATACTAAGATACCAAGATATACTAGGGGGATCTCGCTACTTGGAAAAATAGAATTCACCGGTTATAAAAGGAGCAAAAACAGGTCTTTTCATCAGGCTAAGCTTACTATTTTTGGACAACTTCTGTATTGAACCTCGGTAAAGAAAACCACACAGTTTTGAGTTTTGGGCAGAGGAAGAAAAAAGAAGAAATTATTAAAGTATATAATAATAATATATAGTATATATAAGAAGAATACAAGAATAATACATAGTGTAAGAAGGATACATAGTATTTTAGAAAGAGTAATATATACTATAAAAGAAGAATAATATATGGTGTATAAGATTAATATATAGTACTCTAGATAATAATACATTGTACTTAATAGTAATAATACATTGTATATAAGAAGAATAATACATAGTATTACTATAGGAAGAGGAAAAAAAAAGGAATAGAGAGGTTAGAAAAAAAAGGAATAGAGAGGTCTCGTCTTACATTTTCACCAACTCATAAAGCAAATGTCCATTAGTAATACCCCTGAACCACAAGCTTTACCGGACGCTCAAGTACAAGATGCTCTGTTTGTCACATCTGGTAAGCAAAATAAAAAGAAAGTAAAGTCGTCTACTTTGTCAGAAGAACAGAAGAAAGTATGTGGAGAGTAAATGAGTTTGATATATGCACATTATTTTTTTCACTCAAACATACTAACTATTAACTTATATAGGCCCACCACATTGCCTCTGAGCAAAAACGACGCGAGAATATTCGAGCTGAATTTGATAAAATAGTTGCACTTACGCCAAATTTGAACCAACTGGAGAATAGATCCGAGTTGAACATTCTAACCAAGAGCGCGGATTTTATTGACCAGTTGAAAGAGGAAAATGTGAAATTAATCGAATTGTGCAGGCAAAAGGGAATCGAGGTACCAGAAGAGCTTATTTATAAAGGCCCACAGAACGATGGAAGCGATATAGTCAAGTGACACGGGTTTGATCACGGATATTTTGTTTGATTTCTTTTTTTTTTTCGGTTTGGTTTTAAAGTTCTTGTCTATAGATTATACAAAACTGGAACTCCTCACCAGCATAATTGTACAATTTCCGAACTGGAATAAACTCTGCCGAACCAGAACAAATCGGCAGAGTTGTTATACACTGGCAAGGTGAGAATCCTGCTTGTAAAAATTTGTTTATTTTTTCAACGTCAGAAGTGAACATCATAACAAATGTATAGGCACCATCAGCAATGGAACAGAAACTGGAAAACTCAAACCCAAATTCTGCTATTGAATTTTTAAACTGTTTTTGTTTGGACAGTTTTGAAAAACCTCTGTCAAACTCATTTTCTTCTTCTTCTTCGTCTTCTTCTTCTTGATACACGGAAAAAGTCTCTTGGAAAGAGAACCCTCCCCATTCAATCTCTGCCATTTTTGGAAGAGCATTGACTTCAGCAATCACGAGGTTTGTTACCAGTCCGAACTCACCATTTCTATGGTCAGCCAAGTGTTGCCAACACTCCTTTACACATCCAAGACTTGCATGACTGGTTATAAAACAAATTACCGATGCAAATTTGGTGGCTCCAACTAATTGTTCAACGTTTGTCAAATGTTTCAAGGACAACGCCGAGTTAAATGCAATTGTATTTCTTGAGAGGGTCATGCTTGCTGGAATGAGTGGTATTTGACCCGATAGACTTGCCAATTTGAAAGAAGATGGCTCGGTGTCGGTTATGCTTTGTGAATAAGGACCGATGTTCTGAGGACCCCAAAAGGACCTAGACCTAACATGGACCCCCAGTTTTCGCAGTTTATCTTTTAGCACAACACATGATAACTGAATATCCGTTGATATTCCAGTTTCAACACAAATTCTAGACGGTGGGAGGTACATGTCTGAGAAATACGAGCCATATATTTTATTCACGAGCTCAAATGAGGAAAGGTCTGATAGCAATAAGTTCACGTGTTGAATGTGGCTCCAAGAAAGATCATGGTTCTTCAAATATCCCAACAATTGGGTGAATATATTTGTCATCTGATCTTCAATGGTGTGTGCAGTTGAAGTCAAGTTGGAAATAAACAACCTTTTCGACGTCACGATGATGCTACTAGTAGGCGTATACTGTTCTGGCAAAACTTCTTGTAAGTTCTGCAGCTTTCCTACTCCTTCTTTGTTCACATTTTCATTTTCAGCTTCAGTTTTAAATTCAGATTCAACAAAATCCACCCAGAATGGATCCAACAAGGGAGGTGCAACCAAGTTCCTCTTTGTATTAATGTCAGCTCCTTTATTGTCCTTCTCTTCCAATTCTACTTGAAGTTTTAAATAAAATACTTCACTAGAATGTCGTACTATTTGTTGGTCAACAATCTTGAGTCGCTTGTCTTTGAAAAAGGGACAGTCCAACACAATTGTTTCAAATTCACCTCCTTCTCCACAAATGTGAACGTCATACATCAGATTCAACTTGACCAAATGGGGATAAATCTCATTCAATTGCTGTCCCAAATGACTAGCATTGAGACCAATTGCCGCCACTTTGACTATCCTCGCGTCAAGACCGCTGTCACACATTTCCAGCATCAACTCATTTTGATCCCTTTGCCACAAATACGCTAGTGAAGTCAAACCGAGCCTATCGCACACATTCTCAACCCGCGTTCTTTGGTAATTGGAAAGAATGGCACCGCAACTAATAGCCTCAATATCAGGATGCAAGTTCTTGACCTCTGATATCAAACTAAACAAATCCTCAATCTCGTCGTCCTCGGTACGTGAATACTCTAATTCTTGATTTAGAGACAGTCCTGTGATTGCCTTTCTATACAATGGCACATCCAAGCATTGGCTATAAGCAGATATTATTTCATGTCCCACAGTTTGAAACATAAAAGAGTCGATTTCAGCTTGACTCTCATCTTTAGGATAAAGATTCCCCAAAGCTACCAACTCATGGCCTTGAGACAAACAGTGATATAAATTATAGAACGAATCCTTGCCCCCTGATATTAACGCAATAAACTTCATAAGTGGGTAGTGTTCAGGCTAAATACATACATTCACTCGATAATAACAAACTTTACTTAACATAGTCCTCGAGAAGTAGACAGATATAGATTTAACACTTCAAAAAAATAGGCCATCGCATTAAAACCTGCATAGTGAGAAAACCTAACATATTCTTTTTTTTTTTTTTTTTTTTTATTTCAGACAGGCCAAAAATTTTTCAACCTGCTTTCTTAGTGAAATTTTTTTTTTTTTTCATTGAATTTTTCTTTATACATCTCTTTCATAAGTCTTCTTTTACCATCAAATCCCACTAGCTCAATATGCCACGTATGTTTAACAATAGAATCTTATTGATATTAACCTAAATTAGTATAGTAGACTTTAATGAACGATTTCAGAACTCGATTTTAGAGCTTGGTTTTGCTTTGTCTATACAAGGTAAAGATAGTGTTGAGATCTTAAAAGAGAGTGCTTCCTGGTCGTTGAGGTTCGGGTCCTCCATTTCTTTGTTGAATATGTTGTTCATACAGAGAATGCTTCAAAAAAACCTTATCTTTAATGTAACTGAATTCCCGACACTTCAGTTTACAAAAGAACGTCTTCTTTCTTCACCAACAAACCCCCACCCCGCTGCTGGCCACTCCCACCATCTGAAAAATGAAAAGCCAGAGAACTCAATTTGGGTTGAAAAAAAGTATTTGCTCAATGACGGGGCTTATGTTTTTTTACAGGGCTCAAAGTGAAATATTTTAATTGCCATGTTCCCAATGAGACTTTGAGAGGGATGTGAAGAAAGAATGACGAAGGTTTTTGGTAGAGCATTTCTCTCTGTTATAACTTCTTTTCTTTCATTGAAAAAGTTGTAGGACCGCCCCCCCTCCTTTTGTATTAAAATCTATTGAACTAATATGGTTTTTTTTTTCTTTTAGTGTTGAATTAGTATTCTAACAGTTTTAATTAGGTGCTCCAAGAACATACTCAAAGACATACTCTACCCCAGCTAGACCATACGAATCAGCTCGTTTGGACGCTGAATTGAAATTGGCTGGTGAATACGGTTTAAAAAACAAGAGGGAAATTTACAGAATTGGTTTCCAATTATCTAAAATCAGAAGAGCTGCTCGTGATTTGTTGACCAGAGATGAAAAAGATCCTAAGAGATTGTTTGAAGGTAATGCTTTGATTAGAAGATTAGTTAGAGTCGGTGTTTTATCTGAAGACAAGATGAAGTTGGATTATGTTTTGGCTTTAAGAATCGAAGATTTCTTGGAAAGAAGATTACAAACTCAAGTTTTCAAGTTGGGTTTAGCAAGATCAATCCACCATGCTAGAGTTTTGATTTCTCAAAGACACATTGCCGTTGGTAGACAAATTGTGAATGTTCCATCTTTCACAGTGAGATTGGATTCCCAAAAACACATTGACTTTGCTCCAACTTCTCCATACGGTGGTGGTAGAGCTGGTAGAGTTAAGAGAAGATCTCAAAACAAGAAATCCGATGATGCAGCCGGTGATGAAGAAGAAGAGTAAATAACGGGATAAAATTATCCCTTATTTTAGAAGCAGTAGGTCTTTGATATGTGAATTGCAAAAACTTTATATATATATATATATCAATAATGTATACTAATTGGTCTTGGATTACTACATATCAAGGAACGCGCCTTTTCTCCTTAGCTTCTTACAATCCGTATATATTATGTTAACTATATTATGTTTATTGTTTTCTGGTTACGTCTTCACCTCGATGGACAAGCAGATGCAAAATGTAAACCACGAGGGCTATAACCCTCACTCATCTTATATGGTAGCACGTAGAAAACTCGCGCATTTTTTTCTTTTATGCGCACTAATTACTGTATTGTCTCGTTTGTATTGCAATTTTTCACTGACAATAATAGAGTGGACACAAACACACACACTCACTCACTCACAGAGAGAGAGAGAGAGAGAGCGAGAGAGAGAGAGACAAAAGTTAATACTTGAAATTTTTTTTTTTCACTAGGCCCTTCTCTGAGATCCTTTTAGAAGACATATATATAACAACAAAATGGGTAAATCGTATGTGGCAGTCTATTCAGACGCTTTTACACGAGTGTCTAGGGAATTGATATTGAGATAAGAGAACAAGGAAGAGGAAAATGACGGAATAACGATGTATAATTCGAGAGAGCTTTGCGGAGCAATGTGAAAAATTCTGAAGCTGAGGAAGAGGAGGAGGAGGAGGAAAAGGAGGAGGAGGAGGAAAAGGAGGAGGAGGAAGAGGAAGAATATGAGCAGAAGAAGGGTGTGTGAATCTAGAATAAGGAGGAGGAGTGTCAGCATGCTTTCAATTTGGAGTTATTACCGCTCAGTTTCTGTCTTCCATTCTCATTATTTTCGATAGTTTTATTGAAAAAAAAAACTGGATACTAACATATATTTTCTAAAGACGTGGTTATAGATCTGGTACTCGTTACGCTTTCCAGCGTGATTTCAAGAAACATGGAGCCATCCCATTGTCAACTTACTTGAAAGTATACAAAGTTGGTGATATTGTTGATATAAAAGCCAATGGTTCTATCCAAAAAGGTATGCCACACAAATACTACCACGGTAAAACTGGTATAATTTACAACGTTACCAAATCGTCAGTTGGTGTTATCATCAACAAAGTTGTTGGAAACAGATACATTGAAAAAAGAGTCAACTTGAGAGTCGAACACGTTAAACACTCTGCTTGTCGTCAAGAATTCTTGAACAGAGTCAAATCAAACGCTGCTAAAAAGAGAGAAGCAAAAGCTAACGGTGAACACGTGAGCTTAAAGAGAGCTGCTGCTAAACCAAGAGAAGCTAGAGTTGTTTCCGCAACAGAGAATATTCCACAAACTTTGGCTCCAGTGCCATATGAAACATTTATCTAAGCTTTTCAATCCTACAACTACCCAAGCTTCACTATCACCCATTTGTTTCATTAAAAAAGGTTTTTTTTTTATTCTGTATAGTAATCAGGTATAAAAATTAATGCACTCTTATTAAGTCTACGATTTTTCTTTTTTTTTTTTGAGATAGTTGTATCAAGATATAGCTGGAATGTTCTCTTCAGAATAATAGGCCCAGAAGTTGTCATTTGTGCAATAGAGTATGACATGTCAGCAATGGGGCCCGCGTAGGCAAAGACTATCTAAATCAATGATACCGCTAAACAAATATAATCTAAAACAGTGATACCTTTTTGCTTTACTTTATGAGTTGTTCTTTTTAGGAAGGAAGAAAAAATTAAAACAAATAATAAAAATGCGTTTTCTAGTTTTATACTCTCAGTTTGTTTCTATAAACTCCTATGATATAAATGGGAGATCAGGGTAATACTTCTGAAGATGGTGATGCAAGGTCAAACGTGTTTGAAAATGCATTACAGTCATGGGTGGAGATTGATTTATCCACGCTCCAGAGGAAGCTAGACGAACAAGGATTAGAAATAAAGCAAGGACAAAAGGATTCTCTTTTGAGTCGCAAGACTTTGGCATCAAGAACAAAAGAGTTTAAGAAGCTAGAGTCATCTGAAAAGTTGGAGCAGATCAAGTCACTATTGAAGTTGTATCAGAATGAAATTGACAGTCTAACGACCAAAAATAAGAATTTGGAGAGCTATTTTTTCGGCATGTATAGGTTGATTGGAGATGCCCCTGACCCGCGTCCGTTGTTGGAGATGTCAATTGATTCAGTCATTGAAAGTAAAGAAGCTGTTAGGCTAAAAATAGAGCTAGCCAAAACCGAGGAAGAGTTGGCCAAAAGAGCCGATTACGAACAATTGAAACAGAGATTACTACTGAATGAACAGAGATCAGCAGAGATTTTGAGCATTAAGCTCAAGGCGAAGGAGAATGAGTGTCAATCTTTGCTCGAGGAGAAGGAAGCAAATTGGAAAGAAAAGGAAAAACAATTTGAAGATCAACTCCGCACTGCTCAGAAACAAATTGAGGAATTAAGGACATCTAAGGAGGTGCTGGAAATACGCCTCAATAATCAAAATAAGAGCAATGAACATTACGAGGGAGCTTCCGCGTCAGTATTGGCTGAACTAGATATGGTACGGAGAGATGCGGAACTTTCGAAGAAACGAATATTTGAGTTGGAGAGGCGGAACGAGAGTTTAAGGCGTGACATTACCCAGTCTCAAAATGATATGGACATAAAAGTATTGCAGGATAAATGTGATCAAAAAGTCAGCGAAATGGAGAGTGAGAATGTTTTACTTGTTGCAAACTTGAATCAAATCAGGAAGCAAAAGGAAGAAATTGCTAAACGCTTATCGTCCAAAATAGATTCTTTGGGTAGGGAAAATGCGGTTATGGCACAAGAAGTGAAAAATTTGAAATCAAGATTGGACAAGACCTCTGACTACGAACAAGTGAAAGAAGAACTTCACCTTCTTCGCCAGATTGAGTTTGGCCATGGGGAAGAGGATGATGATGCGACGACTAGCAAAGCCACCACCAAACTAGACTCCATAGTCATTGAAAGAAACAAAACAATGACCAAGGAGCTTGCTCAGTATAGATCAGAGCATGCCGATTTGACATCTAAAGTAAGTGAACTAGAGGACCAATTGAAATATGTGACGGAAGAGCTTCGGTCTTCAAAGCAATTGAATGAGAAGTTAGAGAACGACTTGACTGATTTACAGGAAAGCAATTCTAGCAACAAATTTAATGATAATAGCAGTTTGATTTCTGGTATGAGCAGAATCACAAGGTCTGCAAATTTTCGAAATGGTAGTATAGTATCAGGCATTTCCGGAGAGAGATTAGGTAATGACGATTCTTCTATTTTACCCATTATAACGAAGCAAAGAGACCGATTCAGGGAGAAGAACAATGAGCTTGAAGACGAACTTCGCAAACTGCACAATTTGAACAATGAATTGAAAAGACAAATCAACACTTTAAAACAAGACAATGAAGAGTTGTACGAAAGAGGAAGGTACTTGCAATCACTTCAAACACCAGGCACACGAAATATCACCACGACTTCTTCCGGCAGGAAGTTTTTGAACCCCAAACCCAATGTATCGGACTTGGAAAGCAACCATGTACGGTACCAGCAAGACTATGAAAGAAAGCTTCATCCGATTGAACAATTTAGAATCAAAGAGCAAGAAAGAATAAATTCCCGACTTTCGCCGTTGGAAAGATTATTCATTTCTTTAACAAGAGCTGTGTTGGCGACAAGAGCAACAAGAATGATTTTTTTCGTTTATTGTTTGGGATTGCATGTTATTGTGATGGCGATAACAATATATGCTATGAACTTGCATTCTTCCTTGATACCTGAAGTTGGTTTGAATTTGAGTACAGGGGGAAAGGCTATGAATCAAGTACAGGGGGAAAGGCTATGAATCAAGTACAGGGTGACAAGGCTATAAATAAAATAGGGCTTTAACACTATCGAGCAGCACAGACTGATACTATTTGATTTATAGCAAAGCCAGCAAAGCCAGCAAAGCCAGTAAAGCCAGTAAAGCCAGTAAAGCCAGCATAGCCTTGTCCTATAAATCAAATGGGCATTAATTTTTTCCCCTTTATTGAAGTATTATTTGAGAAAAAAATCAAATTTGGTAATTTCATTATTGAGTTTTTATTGTAAAATGGTAGCTGTTGTGTCAACTGTCTTTGCACTAACTCCCTAACTCCTTTGCGTTGTTTCTTTGGCACTGACTCTTTGGTACTGTTTTTTTCGCACTGACTCTTTCGCACCGACTCACCCCCCCCCCCCCCCCCTAAACTTCCTTCCTTTCCTACCCCTCTAACCCCCCTTTTTTTAAATACCACGATAAGCGTCATTTTGTAAATTTTATTGGAATCTCATTTTGTGCGGCAATTGATTAATCAATCATTCCTTTTCATATTGTTTGCTTTGTTAATATTGCCCATAAAAGGTTTTTCAATTGATGAATCGTTTTTTATTCAACGCTTTACTTATTGTTTGCTTCTATTTGGTTTATAAATACGCATTTTCCACACCCACTACAAGCATGTCAAACAAAACATCCACTACAAGCACAGGTTATTCAAACCTTGAGGGTAAAAGTCAAGATGAGATTCTTGTTGATATGAATGGCAAACAAGTGCCCTTGTCCAAGATCTCCAAGCCACATGCTGTAGTATTACCACAGGATCATCAAGGAAACCTTGATGCCAAATCTTTTCCTGGTGTGGAGCCAGAAGCTCAACAAAAGGAAGATATTAAGGCTTTTGATCAAGCTATTTTAGAGCCCGGTAAACATGGCCAGAAATTTGATGCTGCTTCATTCCCACCTGTCGAGCCAGAGGCACAAAAAAGAGAAGAAGAGTTGGAAGCTGCTCGTAGAAAAGAGAATTGATATATAGTCGAGGTGTTGAAGCTGCTCGTAGAAAAGAGAATTGATACATAGTCGAGGTGTTGAAGCTGCTCGTAGAAAAGAGAATTGATACATAGTCGAGGAGTTGAAACTGCTCTTTATTTCATATGATATGGAAACTTACTCTCCTTCCGTCTCTCCCCTTCTCTCTCTCCCTCTCTCTCCCCTTTTCCTAGTTCATGTGAATGAACACGACTCTTGGTAGAGCGAATCCACTATCTCTAGCTCTCGTTTTCATTATGTCCTTGATAACTGGAACTCAAGCCAAATAATGGCGTGACTTGGAGCCTAGTGCCAAATAGAAAAAGCCTCCTTGACCTACAAAAGAAGAAGAAGGAGAATTAAATTAATAGAGGGGGAAAAAATATTGAAACCCTTAGCTTAGAGTCATCTCATCTTATCTTTAGTTTATTACAAGTTAAAAGTTGAAGCTTTTGTATTTGAGAGACTAATAGTGAAGAGATGCTAACTAAAAGACTATTTCGAGTAGTTTCCTACTTTTTGTTCATATTATTCACTGTGCTGGTATTGCTATTGTTTGCCAACAAACACGAGATTATAGAATTGAACAAGTATGTGCCGTTTGATTATTTCTCAAGTGCAGCTCCAGCATTTTTTCAACCACCCCCCAACCTGTTTCTTTTAGATATTGCAATAAAGAACTGCTATGCGTACAATTACAACAATGCCAATTGTGGCAAACCCGATGCTAATTCGGGCAAATATGGCGACTTGTCAGACAGTAATGGTGGGTGGATTCGATTGAAAAAGGACCTAAGTTTAGGCAAGTCCTGGTTCAAAAAGCAGATGCTTTCGGTAAAGAAATTAGATAGCACCCAATTTCAAAATTTGCTTAGAGATAAACTTGTTGAAGATTCGGTGATTATTGATTTTGCCGTTTATGATTCGATAGATGACTCCAAAATTAAGGGAAACCTGTTGAAATTGCCACTCAAGATAATCGAGAGCTTCAACGGAATCCAGTCTCTGAATGATGACTCAAATCTAATTGCCCCGGAAGAAGAAGAGGAGCAAACGGAAAAACACAATGCCCAAACGGAAGAAGAAAGGATAGAGGAAGAGAGGCAAAGGGAAGAAATTAAGGAGAAACAGGAGAAGGAGGAGAAGGAGCAGAAGGAGAAAGCCGAAGAAGCTAAAAAATTACTTGAGAGTGAACAAGAATTTCTGAAAGAGAAACAAGTTGAAGAAGGAGAAAATAGCAATATTGAGAAACGATCAGAGATGGAGGCTAAAGAGTCTTTGGAAAAAACAAATTTATACATCCCAACCATGAAGGAGGTTAGTGAGCGCGGATGGACTTATAAATCCAATGGAATTTGGACGAGATATGGAAGCCACAATAAAGAAACCGCTATAAATGCAGTGGACATATTGTTTGGCTATGAGGCCACAGAGTTAAGGCCAAATTGGAAGTTGTTGAAAAAAAAAATCAATGGCATTTCAAGTGAGTCAGATTTGCCAGCGTATTTATCATTCCGTCGCGGCCCAAAACTCGACTATAAAAAGAAGTATTACACTCCTTTGAAAATGAACAAGGATGATCAATTCAAAATACTTCAAGTTGCAGATTTGCATTTTTCAACTGGGTATGGCAAATGTCTTGATCCCGTGCCAACTGAGTCTGCTAAGGGCTGCAAAGCAGATTCGAGAACTTTGAAGTTTATCAACGAGGTACTTGATATAGAAAAACCGGATATGGTTGTTTTGACAGGCGATCAGATATTTGGAGAAACATCTCCTGATTCCGAGTCTTCTGTGTTCAAAGCCTTGAGTCCCTATGTTAAGCGTAAGATACCCTTTGCTATAGTCATGGGAAATCATGATGCAGAAGGTTCAATGAAAGCGAAGGATATGATGGGATTGTATTCGGATCTTCCTTACAGTCTCGCTGCTATGGGCCCAGAAGAAATTGATGGGTACGGTAATTATATTATCACAGTACCGGGAAAATCGTCTGATTCAGTAGCATTGTCGTTTTATTTTGTTGACTCGCATAGCTATTCTTCGAACCCAAAGGCATATCCTGGGTATGACTGGATTAAGGAAAGCCAACTTGTGTATATGAAGGAAGAAGCCGCTTCCCTTAAAGAGGGGATCAGGAAATTTGAAAAGGAAACAGTTACAGATGGTTCAAAAACAATAACAAAGAAGAGTTTATCAATGGCTTTTTTCCATATCCCTTTACCAGAGTACAAAAATATTAAACAACCAATGGTTGGTGAACATCTCGAAGCGGTAATTTCACCTCGGTATAACTCCGGGGCTAGATCTGTATTTCAAGAGATTGGCGTAAAAGCTATAAGCGTAGGCCATGATCACTGCAATGACTACTGCTTACTTGACCAAAAAGATGCTGACACCGCAGGTGATAATGATGGAAATAGAATATGGTTATGCTACGGAGGAGGTGTAGGCTTGGGTGGATACGGTGGATACGGTGGATACGTTAGAAGACTTCGAATTTATTCTTTTGACACAGCTCGCGGTGAAATCAAGACATGGAAAAGGGCAGAGAATGAACCTGGCAAAAAGATTGATGAGCAGATTTTAGCAAGTGACGGGGAAGTGGTAAATCTGTAAAATCAAAGTTGGACTTTTATTGGGCATATTTGAAAAAACCATCAAGAGTTAGGTTCCTGTCTCTTTTTTTGTGAGTTTTTACTCCTAGATTGACCCTATTAGCCGTTACTCCCCCTATTTCCCTCTTTTTGACGGGATGCAATTGACTTGATGTACAATTTACCTACGTTTTATTTTTGTTTTACAAAATACACTATTTAAAAGAAAAGAGAAACGTTTATTTCATATTATAGATTGTTTGTAAATTGTTTGCAATCACAATTAAATAAAAAGAGAACAGTGTACTGTAATATGAGGAACCAATTAAATGACAAAGTTCATCAATGGCGGGAGAGAGTAGTTGTGCCTATTGATAACAACTACGCTAATTTCAAATAGTGGTGGTGTCAGCTTTGTTTTGGGTGCCTATATTTCTACTCTGAAAAGACGGCGACACCGATGTACTTACACCATTATATTACAGATAATAAATAGCGTCTACAGAAGAGTAAATGGTAAAAAAGATGCAAAATTTAACAAGAATGTAGCTTCTTACACGAGTTGTTTATAGAAATGTATTATTTTACACGAGTCGTATACAAAATCGCGGAGTTCATATTCTATTTTTTTTTTTTCAACTCATATATCTGAAACAACGATAATTTTTCGATTTCTTTCAACAGCCAACTATAGCTTTTTTTATGATGCATTGATTGTCATTGCAAGAGGATACAGGAGGTAGAATAAGTAATATTTCATACCGAGTGAAAGATTTCAAATAGAGAAACAAACAATAATAGGAAAAAGCCAAAAAAAAAAAAAAAAAAAAAAAAAGGGTAAAAATTATGTCAAATAAAAAAAAGAA